AAGGGTCTTTGTGGTTGTTTGACCCTGCTTCAGGCTTGGATATATGAGTACTTTCCTCTTTTCCGTCCGAGCCAGCTGCCACAGTCTCCGGATGCACCTCGTGCTTCCTCGTGGATTTCTCCCCGTTTGCCAAGTGGGGATGAGGCTAGACAGAGGTTAGCACGTTATCGACAGTTGTTGGATGAGCTTTCAGCTGATGATGTGACCTGGACTCCGTACGGACGAGATGGCCATACAGATATACCCCGCTCCTTGTATACTGGCCCCATTCGCTTTTCTGACATTGCTGAGGGATACGATCCTGCACGTTGTCTACGCCAGTTTGGATACCGACAGATTATCCCCCGTGCTATGACGGTACCACATGACCAGTACCGTCCGGCTTCCGGCAGCAGTTACATAGTCTTTTGGGATCCGTGGGTGAATCAGTTGTGGGATAACGTGGCAGCCCGTCGTCTAGATTTGGATTTTGCTTCTCGGCCGTGCGAGCAGCCATCGGAGATCGTGGAGGAGTACGTTGACTGGTTTCTGACTAGATCGCACCCACGGATCACCCACCCCACTGATGGGGAGCCTCAGCCTCGACCACTACTAGTTCATCAGGTTAGTTATGACTTTCTTTTGCTTTTCCAAATATAAAGGACATTTTTTATTTATTCTAACATTGTTTTCTATTTACAGTTGAGAGAGCAAATTGTGGATCGTTTAGGTCCCGTGTTGCTGACGAGGGACCGGAGTAAGTGGGAGGAGGACGGTGGTAAGTTCTATGATATGGTAGCTGGGGTTTTCGAGTTGTACGACCAGTTGGTAGGGCAGCCGCCTCAGTAGACGATTGTGTTTTTTATTTGTCATCGTTTGTAGTTGAACTGAGACTATTGTGTTTTTTATTTGTCATCGTTTGTAGTTGAACTGAGACTATTGTGTGTTTTATTTGTCATCGTTTGTAGTTGAACTGAGACTATTGTGTGTTTTATTTGTCATCGTTTGTAGTTGAATTGAGACGGTTGTGTGTTTTTTTTACTTTAGTTACATTCAATGCATTGCTAAAATAGTTAATCAACATGGTAGATTACTAAATGTTTCAACAATAGAGAGTTATACAATTCGTAAATATACTTCCAATCTTCATCCCCGTGGGTTCAATCTATCATAAAGCGCACGCTCATGTAAGAAGAATTGATCCCACCCATTGACACTAGGGTCATGAAAAATAGGCCAAAGGCCATTAATTGGAGGCATGGGCACTTGACCATGTCAAAAGTCAAGTCGCACCCAATGATCCCCCGTAAAATGTAGTGATAAGATCCCACGTGGTCTTGTTACTCCTGGTGGGGCCGTCACAGGTAGCACGGTATAACGACCGCCTTGACTGTATACAACGATGGCCCATGAATGCAAGGTGGCGAAGACGAAGAGTTCCGCATTATCCATCCAGTTGGGAGGTCCACAGCCACTTGTTGATGCCCACCTGCAACGTTGAATGCCATTTTCTATTCCATTTGCTATTCCATCATAGTAGTCTCTATAAAGCTCAGGACGGGATTCAAGCTCCTCTAGAACAGCGCGTCTCATTTGTGGCCAATTCCTTTGGTCCCCAGTAACTGCTTTTGATATAGCTCGAAATCCACAGTGTCCATCTGGAATAGGGTTGAACCAACCATGAACTAGTCGTTGCACGTAGGATTCCAAACAATGTAGCCATGGGTAATTCTTCCAACTAGTATTGGGAATCCGAGCAACCCTCCACGGGGCACCATCTAGCAAAAGAGCATAACACAATAAATTAATACAAGGAGTTATACAATATGTTTACCCGAAATTAGGAATATAATTTCTAACCTGTATCATTATGGATCACCGGCTCCGTCTCATCCTCGAAGTTGGTTTGTGCATTCACATTCGGGGCACCACCTATCTCATTTAAAAAAATAGATTAGTTGTACACTATATTGAGGAAAATTGAACACAACTAAAAGAAAAAGTTAATCTACCTGTATTTCCATCATTGTCCGGAGTTGCAGTCGGAAGTCTTGAACTTCTCCTCCCTCGTCTCCTCTCCACATGCTCGAAGTGAGATAGGTTTCGAGTGGTGGACGTCCTTGGGCGACCGGGGCGGGGCTGTCCCCCATGCGGTTCATCAATGCCATCATTTTCAGGATGAAGATGGCTCCGGAGTAGACCGATTGCACCTCGAATGGTCTCGTCACCTCTATCAAGAACCTCCTGTACTAGACCTTGGAACACACCACGGTGGTAATCACTATGGTCATCCCACTCCGGCCGAGTAGGAGGTTCACGATAGTTGATAACGGTCCAGAATGGCAACACCTCATACAAGGCGAAATCCCGATTTTCACGTCGTGCTAACAGAATGGAACATCTACATGGGAGACCATAGGTAGGAAAAAACGTACATGTACAAGGTTCCCCTTCCACTGCTACCTCGAACAACATCAACCTCAGAGCTTCTAGAGTGACTTTCGTATTCAACTCTCGAAATGGTTTTCCATCCGCTCGGAGCAGCTTCTTTTGTCGGGAATCCTCTAGCAGCTTCCTGATTTGAAGGTGTTGAGCCTCAATGTAATCATCGTTCTTCTTGTATACCTACAGACAATGAAGAACAATTAGGAGACTACTAAAACTTATGTGTGTATCAATGAAGATTTATTAGATTACTAATCTATCGACTGCGCTAGTAGATGATTGAAGCCACTTCTTGAAGGAGGAATGGGCAGCTTCAACCCTATTAGAGCTTGTGTTACCCAAATACCGCAGTTGATTGGTATAACATTTAGCCCACATGTGTCTAACTGGTAACCACTCAGCTGTCATATACCCCCAAAGACGTCGGTATTGTACTCCCCAACTACGTCTGAAATTCTCTAAGGCAGTATCCATGTCTTCCACTGTCAATGCATATACAGCACGTTGCCAAGACGCCATGATATGATCCACTGTCGGTTTGGCTGCATCTATACCACAATGAGTCGTCCTTCGTACCTCCGTTAGACACTTTGCTCTCACATTCCTATCCATATGCCAAAGACATAATATATGAGTCAATGATGGAAACATTACCCCCACGGTCTCAACCAATCCTCCTGCCTTGTCACTGACAAACACATATGGAACAATGGGGCCAAGAAGATGTTGCAAATGCGTCAGAAGCCGCTGGTACGACTCCTTCGTCTCGTCGTACACTATTGCAGATGCAATGACAAAGTTCAATCCCACTGGTGTCATGCCGACAATCTCAACCCAAGGCATATCATACTTATTGGTCTTGTATGTTGCATCTATCACGATCACATGGTGCCAAGCTCGCAACATCAATATTGACTCGGGGTGGGCTAGGAACAAGTGTGTAAGCACGTTACGATCGTCCATATACTGCACATAGTAACCCTTCTCCTACGCCATGCGGAAAGTATACTGTAAGGCTGTCATCTGACCAAGCTCTTCTTTCCTTATCTTGTGACACTCGTTATAAATCTGCTTTCTGTTGTGTGTTCCATTTGCACCTTTTCTGTCATTCACTGCCTTGTGGATATTCCTTGGTGGGACACCGGCTGATCTCAGCTCTCTGATGTATTGCTTATCCTCTGTAGTCAAAACATTCCTTCCCTTTGATCCCTCCGGAAATAGCTCCAACTGATGATTGTGGAAACCCAAATTAGCACCAGGATTCTTTGTATTTGCCACCCCTAGGATCAACCAATATCCATCACCTGACCGCTCAAGCTTGATCTGAAACTCACACCCCAACTTTTCAGTAGATGTAAGAGGCCTCGTTTCCTTACTCGGATCAGGTTCCTTCGACTTCTTCTTCCTACTATGAGTGCAATGTAAGTAATGTCGCCAAGTACCTTCATTCTTTTTTTTTTTCTTTTGTTCGATGCCCTCACCAAATAAAACCCAAAACCCTTTGCAATCTCAGTGGCTGCTTCATATGCTTGCAACTCCGTAGTGTATTTCACGCCATCAATGAAATCCGAGGTGTAATCATGGCCATCCGGATTGTAACTTCCAATATCCTGCAATGTTATCAGTATTAAATTTAATAATTATCATAACTTCATATGCGAATCTATTATTTATGCAATAAATTTAATCTTAATTTGTAATGCAAAATCTAATCTTAATTTTCTAGATTAACACCAAATTGAATCTAATCTTAATTTAAGGCCAAATCTAATCTTAATTTCTAATGCTAAATCCTTCAATTCCAAAAATAATTATGCAAATAAATCTAAAAAATTATATAAATCAAAACCCAACAAATTATTTCATGGAACAAATCATAAATCATATAAAAAATAGAAAATTATTCAACGGAAAAAAAACCCAAAAAATGTCCAACCGCAAGTGACCTGCGGTTGGACCATGGCCGGACCGCAAATCACCTGCGGTTGAACCATGGGTGGACCACAATTGACCTGCGGTTGGACCATGGCTGAACCGCAGGTGATTTGCGGTCCAGCCATGGTCCAACCGCAGGTCAATTGCGGTCCAGCCATGGTACAACCGCAGGTGATTTGCGGTCCGGCCATGGTCCAACCGCAGGTGACCTGCGGTTGGACCATGGTCGGACCGCAAATCACCCGCGGTTCCCAATTTCTGTGTTTTTTTTTTTCAGTTCATGTTTTTACCTCGTCGGAGTCGCTACTCATGATTCAGACGTCCTACCGACGATATCGGCTTCAAAATGACGATGAGAGATTTTTCTCTCCTTAGATAGTGTTTTTTTAGTCCAAGTGATGTTTGTTTAAGGAAGGGAAGGTAAAGAAGCTATGGGGGTTAAAAGTGTAACTTATATTCTTTTTAGGGCGACCTTTAGCAATTTTAAAAGCGACCTTTAGCAACTCCTTAGCAACTCCCAACTAGAAACCCTAACGTCATTCACAAGAAAACACATCTCATCCATCGGAAGGCCAAAGGCTTACCGAACAGTAGGGTGGAGAAAAAATACTTTCGTCTACGTCTACGAATCCTCAGTAAAACTAGATATCAGCCAACTTCATGCTCCAAACCGTCTTCTTATAGCTCATGAATATGACCTCTGCTTCTTCTGAAACACGATGACAGTGTGTAACCTCCTTCAAGAGCTTGAAACATTTCTCCCAATCCAATCCAGGTTTAGGCTTGATGATTATCCTGCGAAGCAGTGGGGCCTCGGCCAGCACAAACTTGAGTAGTGCCTGCTCAAAATTCGAGCCTTCACTACACTGCATATTCACCTCTTCCAGAGACGGACAACAATGATCTTCAGCATTATCGTCCGAGAGTTCAGACGCAGCATCATGATCAACGGAATCAGGTTCAAAAAACATCGGTTGGCTCGGTCTGGTTGGAAACTCGACTCCGAATTGCCTCTACAAATGTGAATCAATTAAGGAAATAGAAGAGGATCAAAACAGCAGCAGCCATTACTTTGAACTAGAATTTGATATTCCCATGACGCGGATGACCAACCTGAATTGTCAGTCTGCGCAAGTTGGGGGAACTCCTGAGCAGACAAAACAGAACCTTCGACTCGAGGAAATAAGTGGTGTGAGAATTGCTGCGAACGTCGAGGACTCTCAATCGGCGGAGAGCAGTAGGCAGCTTGGAGGGGATATCCTCTGCAGCAAGGAACTAGAGACAGACACACAAACAAACAAACACAGCCATGACTACATAGCAGAGGAAATCCAGGTACGGAAATGAAACAACAGAACAGGGGAAAAAAAAAAAAAGAGACAAACTTCATACTTTTAGGAACTCAAAGCTGACATACAGCTTCTGGAGTGCTGCAAGAGAAGCAAATACGGCGATCACATCTCTAGCCTCGTCGAATTCGTTCAATTTGAAATCACCAGGCTGCAACTGAATCGAAACAACCGAAAGAAGCGGAGTTCGCGAGAAGCTAATGTCCTCTAAATACCCCCGGTTATAGAGAAACACTCTCAGACATGGAGCTTCATCAATTTGAACATGAGTAGGACCCTCACAGTCCAGAAGCCTCAGATCCTGAAGCAGCGGGCACTTGCGCAGGAAATCGTGATAGAAATAATTAGGCACGGTCACCGTTCTCAGCTCGAGACGGGTGAGCTTACCAAACCCTACGAACCCAAAAGGGGGCACGAATTCGCAGTTCCAGAGCTTAAGGCAATTCAGGGGAAGAACAGAGAACAGAGAAGAGTGAATGTTCTGGCGGTACCCGGGCTGGATCACTTCGTCGCTGAAGTAGAGGGCGAATTCGCGGACCCCTTTGCTGGAAACGTGAAGAATCACCGGATCGAGTTCCTGACAAGGGTTTATCCCGGGCATGGCGAGGACGAACTTGGTGATCGGCCCGTCGTGGACCAGCAGAGCTTTGGAGATGTTCAGCATCAGCTCTCTCTCGTCGTCGTAGGTGTTGAAATCGAAATCGAAGACCAGCTGGGGAATACTTCTCCAGCGGTGCCTCCATTTGCTGGACAGGATGCTCGATTTGCCCGCGTCTCTGATGGGCAACGACATCAGGATTAGCTCAATCACGTTGGCGGGAAGGTCGCTGATTCTATCGGCGATCGATCTGCGCACCGGCTTCATTTGTTGAAATTCTGCTTTGCTACCGAGGTATATCTTTGTCAATTCAGAGAGAGAGAGAAGGGTTCAATTAACTGAGCCTCGTTGTCGATTCTGAGGTGAGGATGATGAGATTCAATGCCGAGGGATCTAAGGAAAAGTAGAAAACCCTAATCCGCTCTGCATGGCGGAAGTCTAGAACCGATCGATACTTACCCTCTCATTCGATTCCGCAGTGTGGCGTCAAACGATGACATTTTGGACTTCCAGCCATTTGAGCAAGGTTGTCAATCCGGTTGAACCTCGTTGACCCATTCGAGTAAATGGATTGAGGGTGAATGGTCCGATCGTTTTAGTCTGATTAGCTCAAATATATGAAAAAGTTATTATATGTTCATAAATTTATAAATTAGATCAAATTTTATCTAGTAAATATCATATAACATTCTTCATAAAAAAATATCATATAACATTACACTAATAACAAATCGTACTTAGGGATGACAATAATATCCATAACCGTAGATATTTGCCTGAATACGATCTAATCTAGTAGGGTAAAACTCAAACCAGAAGAACTTTAGTGGATATGGGTAAAAACCGAATCTGAATATTGCGGATAATGAGTGTGCATGGTTTTCTCACTATCCAACCCAAACTCGCCCGATTATACACATGCAAATGTATTTTGTCTAGAAATAATCATTATTTTTCTCCGTCATATTTCAATTTATCATACAAATGTAATATTTTCATGAAATAAATTTGTTCTAGTTAATTATTATTGTTATTATCGGTTAAAATGAGCATTAACCCAATGAGTGGAAGCAGAACAAACAAAGGTCTACAAAAATTGAATTGTGAGTATATTGTTGACTTTTCCTCTTATTTAATGTGAGTATACGTGTGAATATTAACATATTGGTTATAGTTATAAAGATAAATTATTATCATTGGATAACAGTGGATACCCGAAACCCAAACATGTATGGTATAGTTTTGATTCTTATGTGGGTATGAGTATGGGTAAAACCCGAGCTACTTTAGGTAGGGTAACAGATATGCACTATCCGCCCCTGACCCGACCCGTTGCCAATTCGTACTTGGATCCAACATATAAACTTGACAAACAATTATATAACATTAATATTTAAATGTTAAACTTAGAATTCCAAAAATAAGGTTATGTGAAATGGAAAATTAGAAAGGAGACGAATTTGGCAAAGCAAAGGGGAAAACGATGTCGTGTGACTTCCAACCTGGCAACCTTGCAACGGGTCGTCCTGTGGGTGAGTCGTTAGTGTGGCTGTTTTTATCACTGCATCAGGGTCAGAATGGGTCGAATGACGGATCAACATGAATGGATTTTACAAAAGTACAACTTAAAGTTGACCTTAAAGTTGTACCATAACTTAAAAGTACAACTTTAGTTTGTACCATAAATGGATTTTACAAAAGAGTATAGGCAATTAGGTACCACCTGAAGTTGTACCATAACGATAAATGTACAACTTCAAGTCATATAAAGACAAAAACTAAAGCACCAATACTTTAAAGCATCGTAAAATTTCTCTAAAAGCGTACAAATAGAGTCCTATTAGTACACTGACCGAATTTGCCCTGGAATTAGTGAATAACCATTGCAGTTAGGGACGACAATGGGTAGGGTTGGGTCGGGTTTTGCCAAACCCAAATCCATGGGTTTATCCGTGAAAATACCCTAGGTAAAACCCAACGGGTTTGAAAAGCGCTAACCCAACCCACCTGTTGGGTATCCGCGGGTTCATGGGTACCCATGGGTTTTTATCGTAAAAATTTAACAATAACAAGTTCCTATAAAAATAAAAGTCAAATATCAATCTCTCAATACAAATTATCCATATATAAAACACCATTCTAGAAAATTCAAGCAAATCACAAATTAATCATACAAATTGTTGAACACCAATCTAGAACACTCAAGAAAATTGAAGCAAATCACAAATTATCCATAAACAACATGATTAATTGAAATCATCTTCCTCCTTGTCAATTAAACTTCTTCACATTCCACTCGATAATATAAACTTCATTCTACACAATTAGAAAGAAAAAATTAGACAATGTCTCTACAAACATAAAGAGGATTAGTTGTTTAGAATATTAAATATACCGGGAAAATTAATTATACGGGTGTGGGCGGGTACCATGGAGCAGGTTTACCTAAACCCAAACCAACCCGATGAATAATAAACGAATTTAAACCCGAACCTGGACCAAAAACCGTCAACACGGATTTTACCCACGTTGACCGGGTTGGGTATAATAGGGTACTTGCGGATTCGGGTTTTGTTGCCATCCCTAATTGCAGTTCTGTTAAACCTTTTGAAAGAAGGAAAGAGGAAGGGAAAAGGAAGAAAGAACTGAAGACCCTCAGATCTATGTAAGAATAAAACTTGGAGTATAATTCATCACAGGAAATATATTACAAACCAACGCTGCTAAGTCACTAAAGTCTAAAACTAAACTACTAAACAACTACTGAAGGTCTTCCAACCATTGAGACAGTGGGCATGACAAGTAACTAAAAACTATACACAGAAGTGCAGAGCTGGTATGCTCCAAAAGAGCATATCAGGAATAAATCACCTCTGCCTGAGTCGAAGCACGCTTATATCGTACCACCTCCTCCAAAAATTTGAGACGGACTTTGCGACCCAATCGACCTGAAGCCTTAATGACAAGCTTTTGAAGCTGACGAGCAATTTCTAACACAAACCGCACGAGCTCCAGCTCCGGCTGTGAGCCTGAGCTGTTCTCAATGTAGACCTCGCGCAGACTGTTGATTTCCGAGTCCTCTTCAATGTAGTCGTTTCTTTGATTTCCAGGCCTGGCTTAATTCCAGGATGTAACGTTCTCTTATCTTCTATCAATCAATATGATTATCTTTTGTTAAAAAAAAAAAAAAATCAACATTGGTTCCCAAAAGGCTGCCTCCTCCCTGGCTTTCATCTCCATGAATATTTCAGATTGAAGGATGAAATTTAAGTCAGTGTCAAAACAAAACAAGAAAAACGAAGCGAACTTCAGGCAGGTGCAATTTGCTTTTCGGGTTATAGTTACCTGAATTTTTAGTCTATGCAATCTCAAGGAACTTCTGATTAGACAGAATATTACAGACGTTTCAAGGAACTTCTGATTAGACAGAATATTACAGACGTTTCTAGCGGACCATCATAATCCTCTCTGTATATTCCAAGGACTCGTAACTGGATATAAGAGGTTAAAAGGCTTAACTATCACTTTCCCAATAACTCGAGTTATTGGGGCCAAGCGGTTAGTTCGCTAACATGGTATCAGAGCCTAGAACCAAAAGGTCATGGTTTCGAATCCTCATAACGACCCCCAATTCGGCATCGGCTTTCGTTTGAGGGGGCGGATAAGAGGTTAAAAGGCTTAACTATCCCTTTCCCAATAACTCGAGTTATTGGGGCCAAGTGGTTAATTCGCTAACACTGGAGGAGACCAGGAATCTTGACAGGGACATGATGCCGAAATTCGGCAATCGGACCGTCATGAAGCAACAGAACTTTGTAGATTTTCATCAGTATCTTTTCCACCTCTGCCGTTGATCCACCTTCCTTAGTGATTCGAGCGAAACTGTCATCAAACACAAGTCGCGGAATGTTTCTCCAAAGAATGCTCTCCATTTTCTCGACAACAGGGCTGTCTTTGCCGCATCTTTTATGGGCAGGAACTTGAGGATACGTTCGATTACATGGTCAGGAAGCTTGCCGAGTCTATCACCCATGCCAAGCTGCTTCAACCGACCTATACCAGGAAAAAGCAAAACAACAAAAACCCAACAAGTTATATCCAGATTGGGATAAGCTTAACGAATCATAAAATTGAACTTGTGCAAACTAGCTAAACAACGAGTTTCGCTGATTTTGTTTGTGCGACTGAATAATAATAATAATAATAAATTGTTTGTGCGACAGTAAGGGGTGCTCATTACTTATCATGGTTTAGGGTTTGATCCATGGGTAATATGTTACGAGAGATAGGATCTTTGGTTTCCAAACTTTGGATACCTACTCGACGCGCTCTCGAGTAGAGTAGAGGATCTTTTTTAATGATGAGAACCACTCCAAATTACTACAAAAATTGAATAGCAAAACAAGAAATATAAAGTGGATAGTCTTCTCATATTATTATTATACAGACATAAACAGATCTCATATTTATAGGCTTACAAAATCAAAACCCTTTCCTTATCACTTTAGGCTTTAGCCTCTTTTCTTCGTCAACCGCTACATAAAACCGATGCGGCTTTTAGACGGTTTCGAGCCAATTTTGTAACCGGGTGGCGATTTTACAGGTCGGCCCGAGCGGCTCGACTCGGCTTTAATAACACTAGAATAAAGGGTTATAGGTATAATATGCCCCTCTACTATGACGTTTTATCAAACATGCCCCTCTACTATTTTTTACATCAAATATGCCCCTGTACTTTGAAAAAATTATCAAACATGCCCTTCTGTCAAAATTTTCATTGAAAAAATTGTCAATCGTGGTTGAACCGAGATTTAGATGACCCGACATCGGCAAATGGGAGGAAAAATGTCAGTTTGTCCCCTGTTTTATTTCCCTGGGTCTTTTCAAAATGAAATTATTTGAATGATTTGATTATACAAAAGAACACAAAAAAAATTCTAAAGTGAATTTATTATGGATATTTTAGTCATTTGTGTCGCCCAAACTAAAGTTCGGCCTTGGTTAACGGTTTTTGGATGAAAATTTTAACAAGTAAATTTTTAATTATAAACACTAAACGCACCTACTATATCACTAAGTCGACAAAGAGACAATCATTCTCAACACGGTTCAAAGCATCTTATCATAAAACATCTATTAATCTACAAGATAGAGTACAATGTAATCCACATCATTATTATTTGACTATGTTACATCTACTACGTAATTTCTAACTAATATAATCATGTTAACCCAAGGAAAAAAGTGAAAGAGTGAATGAAGAGTTG